CTAGATCCCAGCTCCTCTCATGCTATCTTGACACTAAGAAGGAAGGTTTCTAAATTGCAGGAGCAGGGTGGACTTTCTTTGCTGCCCTCTCCCAACTTTTAGGATGGGCCCCTGGGAGACTGAGGCCGTCCTGGTCCCCATTGCTGCTTATTACACCCCTTACCGCCTGCACATAGGATGGACTGGACTGGTTGTGCCCTCGGCTGTCTACCTCCCAGCAGGAGAGCTCTGGCCTGCCTCCCGCTGTCCTCCAGAGGGGGACAGAGGGACGACAGGAGGCCTTCGCCCTAGGCTTTGAGCTGCCGCATTGCATGCTGGGATCCAGCTCCTACTCTCCATCCCACCCCTCGCCCCGATCTGGTCCACTGCGGGTGTGGTCAACTGTGCTGCCCGAGCTCGCAGCGGAAGGCGTAGGAACTGTGTACAGCTTGATAACCCTTAATAAAAAAGGGACTTTGACCAGGTCGCGGCTTGTTGTCTTGCGCCGCTAGTTGTCTCTCGGCGCTAGGATTGTGGGAACAAGCGGAGTGGGGTGCGTGTGATATTCCCTAATGGCCGGGGACCCGGCCGGGCCCTGTAGGAAAGTGGGCAGTCTATGCCGTCACTTGGATATACCGAGCTAGCCTGCTAGCGGATGGGTCATTTCCTAGCTGTGGTTCCGTGGAGGTCAAGGTCTCAGGCCGGACGTGCGGTCAGATTTCGCGCCGTGAGCACGTGACCAAGCCGACTCCGCCCTGGTATTTTGCCTTTCCCGCGTGCACCCTCCCCCTCCCGCCCCTTCAGAGAGGTTGACCAATGGGGACCCTACGTAGGGGCGGGGGCCGCCCTGGTAGGCGGGGCTGCTGCGCGAGGGAGCTGCTTGGGTCAGACGCCGAGCATTCCTTCGGGCCGGGACTTGGCAGTAGGGTCCCAGGCTGCGAGCGAGGGGCGGACGGACGGGAGAAGACGGCGTACGTGCCCTGCGTGAGTGCGTGGCGGCGGCGCGTGCGGCAAGAGTGGGTAGTGTGGCGGGGCCCACGTGTGTCCCTGCCCGAGACCTTCGCGGCTTGGCGCCCCGCGGCCCCGTGACCCGAAACACCCCACCCTCCGCGCCCCGCCTCGAGCAGCCGGTTCCGTTTGCCCTTCTTGCAGTCCCCGCAGGCCCCAGAGTCCCCGCAGCCGCGGCCAGCGGCCACGCATCGCCATGGTGATTGTGGGCAACTACTGCGAGGCCGAGGGGCCCTTGGGGCCGGCCTGGGTGAAGGGGGGCCTGAGTCCCTGCTTCTTCTTCACGCTTATGTCCTCGACACTGATGGCCCTGGGGGCTCTGGCCTTGGTGCTAGCCCTTGCCTGCAAGCGCCGGGAGCGGCCAGCTGGCCCCCACGAGCTGTCCTGGAGTGCCGGCCCTCTCGTCGCTCCCTATGTGCTGCAGCTGCTTTTGGCCACACTTCAGGTGGCGCTGCCCCTAGCCGGCCTGGTTGGCCGGGTGGGCACTGCTGGGGGCGCCCCGCTGCCAGGCTACCTACTGCTGGCTTCCATACTGGGGACTCTGGCCAGCGCCTGTGGCCTGGGGCTGCTCGTGGTGGAACATAACCAGGCCTGGCAGAAGCTAGCAATGGGCATCTGGATCGAGTTCAGGCACAGCTCGGGTCTCCTGCTCCTCTGGACTGTGGCATTTACAGCTGAGAACTTGGCCCTTGTGTCTTGGAACAGCCCACAGTGGTGGTGGGCACGGGCAGACTTGGGCCAGCAGGTAAGGGACCTCGTGGGGAGAGGAGAATCATGAGTGGCAAGGGCTGGGAAGAAGGATGGTATGTCTGGTCACACTGGTTCCACACTTTGGGATGCCTCTAAGAAAGGGAAGAAGGGGGAGGCCTGCATGGCCTGGTTGCTGATAGCCAGCTGGTGGGGTGTGTCTCTGCTGAGTCACTCTAGATTTTTTTAAAGCCTACTTGATGCTGGGCCCCTGACCTGGGTATGTGCCCTACCCCAGTCCTTAGCTCTGTTATAAGTGGTAACAATGGCATTTTGGCCTTCTTTGATGCTCTCTGGACACATTTTATTCTAGGTTCAGTTTAGCCTGTGGGTGCTGCGGTATGTGGTCTCTGGAGGGCTTTTTATCCTGGGACTCTGGGGCCCTGGACTTCGTCCCCAGTCCTATGCCTTGAAGGTTAATGAAGAGGATCAAGACGTAGAGAGGAGCGAGGTATGCCTGAATTTCTGAACCTTAGGGTCTGTCTTAATTTCATTGCCTGTCCTCATTTTTTCCCACCATAGTATTTCTTTCCCAAATCTCATTTGTGCCCTGTGAGCCTTTCTGACCTCACTGGGGATCACTTGTGGGTCTGAGATAACTGGGAGCTGTAATCCCGTACATTTTCCCTAGAGGGGTTCGGCTAGGCCACTTCTTTTTTATTTCTGAGCTCCCCTCCCCTACGTGTTTGACCATCCTAGGTTCAGTCAGCAGAGGCACCACCAAGATCTACATGGCAAGACCTTGGCAGGAAGCTCCGCCTACTGAGTGGCTACCTGTGGCCTCGAGGGAATCCAGTTCTGCAGCTTGTCGTGCTCATCTGCCTGGGGCTCATGGGGTTGGAACGGGGACTGAACGTGTTGGTCCCCATCTTCTACAGGGACATAGGTGAGGGGAAGAAGTGCCCGCTCAGCTCTCTGGTCCTTCATCGGCCATGTGAGGGGTGGCGGCCCTAACCTACGGAGGTGGGACAGTGTGAGGAGCTGGAGGATCAGAAAGGGGATTGTGGCTGGTGCCTGGAGCAGTTTCTCCTGAAGAGAGCCCTCGGGGCCAGAAGTGGGCTCTGACTTATTTTCTCCGTAGTGAACTTGCTGACTGAGAAAGCACCGTGGAGCTCCCTGGCCTGGACTGTCACCACCTATGTCATCCTCAAGTTCCTCCAGGGGGGTGGCACTGGCAGTACAGGTATGAGGGACTCTGCTGTCACTCTGGTTGTCATTGGCCTCTCCCCCTCTTCCTCCCCGAAGCATCCCTCCCCTGGCCTCTTGGTGTTCTCGGACCTTTCATATCTTGGAAGTGGGCTGATGTCATTTGGTCCCTCAGCTCTACCGAGGCCTCCCCCCGACTCCCCCTAGGTTTTGTGAGCAACCTGCGCACATTCCTGTGGATCCGGGTACAGCAGTTCACATCGCGGCGGGTGGAGCTGCGCCTCTTCTCCCACCTGCATGAGCTCTCCCTGCGCTGGCACCTGGGACGCCGTACCGGGGAGGTGCTACGGATTGTGGACCGGGGCACGTCCAGTGTCACAGGGTTGCTCAGGTGCCAGGCCCGTGGAAATGGAGTGTGGGATGGTGGGGCTGGAGAAAGCACCCAGCTTCAGCTGTCTCTCCATCCTCCTTTTAATTATTTTTTTTTTTTAACTTTAAGATAAATGTACACGTGCTGCCATAATAACACAAATAAAACAGAACAAGTACCTTGTAAATTCTACTCACTTCTTCAGAGGTTCCCACCCCATCTAGGATGTTGAGTTGTGCTCTTCACCACACTTGGACATACGTATGTGCACAGACTCACGGCACTAATGGGGTACTAGGGAGGGTTTCCCTAAAACACCTAGGGTCACGACACAGTTGTCATTCAGAATTGCCTTATTAACAAAATGGTACGGAGACGTTTTCTTCCCCTGCATGAAGATCCTCCTCATTCGTTATAACTGACCTGGCACATTCTGTCCTTGGGGCCTGCTACCGTTTATTTAGCCATCCACCTGTTGAGGGGCATTTAGCTTGATTCTAGTCTGCTGCCACTGAAAAACAAAACACCACACTGAAACTCCTGGGGGCAGAGCTGCTGGCTCCAAGCCCCTAAACCTTCCTTTGTTGCCTGACTCACCTTCCTAGTTACCTGGTGTTCAACGTGCTCCCCACGCTGGCTGACATCACCATCGGCATCGTCTACTTCAGCATGTTCTTCAACGCCTGGTTTGGCCTCATTGTGTTCCTCTGCATGAGTCTTTACCTCAGTGAGTGCTGCCTAGTGGAAACGTCTCCCTGGAGTATTCTGGGGACTTCCTTGGGCATGAGCCCTGCCCCTACTCAGGTGGCCCAGCTAGGAGAGGCTGTGGATTAGTGGACTTGAGTAAGCTGCTGCTCCCCAACGTGATGGGTGGGACTTCTCCTCTGCCAGGGGGGCTGTAGCTCAAGCCGGATAGAGGGCCAGGGAAGGCATCCTGGTCACATTAGGGGCCTGCTGTGGGTTCAAGTCAAGGAGAAACCTCATTTCTCTAACCAGATGCAGCTCGCCTTCGTTTGGTCACCAACAGCATTTTCACACACAAGGCTTTGTGCAGGCTGCAGAGACGTCTCAGGCATCGCCCCTTCCCTTGGGGAGCTTAGGGCTCTCTCCCTTTGGGATCTGGGTCCCTGGTCTCTAGCTCAGGGTTCATGTGTATGTGCCAGGTGGCGAACACCCCCCTGTGGTCTCTGCCGTCGGGAGTGATGTCTTGATCTCTTCTTTGCCTTCCTCCCCCTCCTGTCACTCTTACAGTTGTGACCATTGTGGTCACTGAGTGGAGAACGAAGTTTCGACGTGCTATGAACACACAGGAGAATGCTACCCGGGCCCGAGCTGTGGACTCTTTGCTAAACTTTGAGACGGTAACAAAGGCCTTGGAGGCAGTAACGTGAGGCAGCGTGGCTGGGGCCCGCGGGGCTGCCGGGGAGCTGCGAGGGGCCGGGGGGGGGTGCTTTTTCAAATGAGGACGGAGGGAGGCCTGCCTGGCTCAGTCAGAAGAGCATGTGACTCTCGATCTCAGGGTTGTGAATTCTAGCCTCATGTTGGGTGTAGAGATTACTTAAATAAGAGTTTAACAAAATAAAGAAAGAAAAGATATAATGAGGAAGGAAGCACTGGGAATCTGGAGGAAATGATCCAGGTGTTCAGGCTGCAGCCTCGTCTCATAGGGTGGCTTGACTTCGTCAGGTGAAGTATCACAACGCGGAAGGTTACGAAGTGGACCGCTATCGAGAGGCCATCCTCAAATATCAGGTGAGGATGCTCGTTTGATGCCAGCTAAGAGCAGTGGCCTAGCCTCACAGAATTGCCAGGGCCAAGAGGAGTACAACTTGGGCTGAAAAAGTGAGGTTGAAGATGCCTGGGGGCTCAGGTTTGGATTTGGTGAGAGTGTATACGTGACATGCCACCCCTCCGCCCCCCCCCCCCAGCGTTTGGAGTGGAAGTCAACGGCTTCACTGGTTTTACTAAATCAGATCCAGAACCTGGTGATTGGACTCGGGCTCCTTGCTGGCTCCCTGCTTTGTGCATACTTTGTCAGCAAGCAGAAGCTACAGGTGAGGGAACTGTGCTGGGGACGGGGAAGAGGGGCCCCCAGGTGCCTGGAGGGAAGTGGGCAAGGTGACAGCACATGGGCGGGGTGCCAGCCCGTAGGTCTCCCGTGACCCTGTCCGCCTCCTGGGATGTCCGCAGGTCGGGGACTTCGTGCTCTTTGGCACCTACATCATCCAGCTCTACATGCCTCTCAACTGGTTTGGCACCTACTACAGGTAACCTAACCTGATCGCCGACCCTCACCTGTCCGGGGTGCATGGTTATTTCCCCAGCTCCTCAGAGGAGCCCCAGCCAGCGCTGTTTTTGCAGGATGATCCAGACAAACTTCATCGACATGGAGAACATGTTCGACCTGCTGAAAGAGAAGCCGGAAGTGAGTGAAGTGCGGGGTGTGGGAAGCAGGAGTCTGCGTGGTGTTCCGGTGTCTGGGGAATAGCAGACCTATAGTGGCAGCATGCATGGGTGGCACTTTCCTAGGTGAAGGACTTCCCTGGAGCAGGGCCCCTGCGCTTCCAGAGGGGCCAGATTGAGTTTGAGAATGTGCATTTCAGCTATACCAGTGGGTGAGTCTCCCTTTTGGCACCTCCCAGCCTCCTGTCCCATCATCCATTTACACATGGCCACAGCCCCTGCCCCCATTCCTGCTTCTCAGCCCACCACTTCCTAGAAGGGGAGCCTTCTAGGGCAGGGCCCAGGGGAGGGGCAGGGCCCAGGAGTAGCTCTGCTGGTGGAAGGAGTCCCTGGGAGTGCAGCAGGCCTGCTGACCATGCCCACCCTTCCTTGCAGGCGAGAAACGCTGCAAGATGTGTCCTTCACCGTCATGCCTGGACAGACACTGGCCCTGGTGAGAGAAGACCCAGGCACTTGGCCCAGACTCCTTGAGTTTCCCTACTCCGGTGCTCATGGAAGTTTGTGACCCAGGCTGTGGAGTCAGAATCCTGTCACAACAGGCCACAGGATTGAATGTAGCACCCTCGATGGACACTGGTGGCTTCTTGGAGAGCTAGCCTTAAAAGCGGCAGGCCTGAAAATGTTTTCCCTCTGTTTCCAATGCACCAGGTGGGCCCATCTGGAGCAGGGAAGAGCACAGTGTTGCGCTTGCTGTTTCGCTTCTATGACATCAGCTCCGGCTGCATCCGAATAGATGGGCAGGACATCTCACAGGTAAGGTTGCTAGGGAGGAGATAGTGATTTAGGGGCCTGTGTGTGAAAGAATGGCTCTCTATGAAGTACTGGCCACTCTCCAGGGAGAGAAGATGTCACCCCTGCAAAAAGCTGCAGCTGGAGATCTCAGCCTTTCTAGTGCCATGTGACCTACCCCAGTAAAGTAGTCATGGGCATAAAAAGCATCTTCTTTCTTTATAGATGGAGAAACAGACTCAGGGAGGTTGAGTGCTTTGCCCACACAGCTAGGATTTGGGATGGGATGGTGGTGACAGGGTTCCTCTACCTCATCCCATGTGCCCCCCCACCCCAGCCCATCTTACCTCCCAGGCCAGAGGGTGGGCGTAGGGCAGTCTCACGGCCTGGGCCATACGGTCTTTTGGCTCCAGGTGACCCAGATCTCCCTCCGGTCTCACATTGGAGTCGTGCCCCAGGACACCGTCCTCTTCAATGACACGATCGCTGACAACATCCGCTATGGCCGCCTGACAGCTGGGGACGAGGAGGTGGTAGCTGCTGCCCAGGCTGCGGGCATCCATGAGGCCATTATGACTTTCCCTGAAGGTGAGCTTCCCTGCAGAGAGAGGTCCTGCCCTGCCCGATTCAGTCCTGCTGTTCCCTGCAACCCTCTGTTCCATCCCGTCCTGCTCATCTGAGCACAGAAACCAAATGTATTCCGTGTGACTTGAGGGAGGCGGGCAATATTCACAGGATACGAGACGCAGGTGGGCGAGCGGGGACTCAAGCTGAGTGGTGGGGAGAAGCAGCGTGTGGCCATTGCTCGTGCCATTCTCAAGGCTCCAGACATCATTCTGCTGGATGAGGTGAGGGCCCTGGGCAGCCCGCTCCCCTCCTTCCTCTCTTGCCTGTGCCCAGGCCATTTGCTGCTGGGTGGTGGCCCATCGCGGATAGACAGCATGAATCCCTGCTTCATAAAAACACCTTACAGTCCTCGAATGCAGAGCAGGTTCTTTTTGACTCCCGAGGCCTCAGCTAGCAGCTTGTATCTTCCTTCCACGGGGATTTTGGGCGTCAGGGGCAGGTTTACCCAGATCCTCTCTGTAGGCAACATCAGCACTGGATACATCTAACGAGAGGGCCATCCAGGCTTCTCTGGCTGAAGTCTGCGCCAACCGCACCACCATCGTCGTGGCGCACAGGTACGGGACCCCGGGCAGCGGGCACCCACTTGTGGTGTGTGGTGCGTAACACAGCTCTGATTTCTCAGGCTCTCAACTGTGGTGGACGCGGACCAGATCCTCGTCTTTAAGGATGGCTGCATTGTAGAGAGAGGACGGTAAGGAACAGGGCAGGATGAACAGGGCGGGGCCTCTGAAAGCGGGGGGAGGAAAAGGTGAAGTCCCACGAGTGTCTCGGAGGGAGCTCCCTGGCCGATCCCTCTCCTCTCTGTGGGCTGGTGGTGAGGACTCTTGGGGTTAAACGGTAGTTGGGACTTGCACTTTCCTCCTCCTCCTTGCCCCAGGCACGAGGCTCTGCTGTCCCGAGGCGGCATGTACGCGGACATGTGGCAGCTGCAGCAGCGGGGACAGGAAGAAGTCTCTGAGGACACCAAACCCCCAGACTGAGACCGGTGACAAAGCTGCGGCCACGTCCCTCCCAAAGGATAACTCAGGGGAATAAGATGTACCCCGTTTCCCGGCATGTTTCATCCCGGTGTTGGGGTATGGTGCTGGCTATAGCTGGGGGAAAGAACCTTTTGGAAAGGCACTTTTTGGGGAAATAAAAGTGTGGACTGTGCTCGGATCCTTGGGACACTGGTGTGGGGCATTGCAGGGGGCCTCTACCCTTAGGCGAGGGGCACATTCTTGACAGGACTCCTCTGGTTTCGGTTGGAAAGGAGAAAAAAACACACCACTTGGAGGTCTTAGTGACAGCCAAGATCCTTTATTCCTTCCAGGCCCCTCCTTGCCCCCTACAGATGGGGGCAGCCTCAGTGTAAAGGGGATGACATGATGCAGGGGGCTGTCCGGGGCCTGGCCAGCATTCGCCGAGGGCCCACCCACCAGACAGTTCTAGCTGCTCTCTTCCAGGGCCTTCTGTAGGCTTGACTCCACAAGGTGCTCCTCCTGATGCTCCCTGGAGGTGGCCTCCTTGTCTTCACTCCTGGCTGCTCCCAGCCTCCTCTCCCTGTGTACCCTAGAGGTGTGGGGGCCACAGTCCTCCTCAGCTGAGCCTCCCTCCCCAAGCCCAGGGCCCTAGCACAGGCTGCAGTTGGACGGCTTCAAGCTGCGGCTCTGGGCCTGGAGCAAGAAAAGTGGAAGGAAGGGAAGACAGGGTGCGACGTCAAGGAAATGAGGGCCAGTCCTCACTTCAGAGCCCAGTGTGGGCTGAAGTCACACCAAAAACGAAAGGATAACCACCATTCGGAAACTGCCACTTGAAGAAAGCCCCTCCCCACGTCCTTCGCAGCGCAGGACCTGAGCTCTCCCCCAGTCCTCATACCTGCTGCCGTCGGTATTCCGCCTCGCTGGCTGACAGCGCTTGTGCTAGAGCTAAGTCCTCTTCCTCCTGAGAACTGGGAGGGAGGAATAGCGCAAGTTGGATGACAATACCACCTAAAACGTGAGCATCTGATCTATCAGGCATCCCTGTGCTGAGCGCTTCTGAGTATTCTCAGTCTTTCCAGAACCCTACAAAGTAGGTAGTAATACGGTCCCATTTTAGAGAAAATTCAGAACCCTCATGGGTTCAAGAACTTGTCAAAGGTCATATAGTTAATAAGCTGAATTTTGAGTCCAAGTTCTTATTATCCTACATGGGGTTGAAGTGGTCCCACCGCCCTCCCTCCAAACTGAGCCTTTGCCCACATCCCACTCTCTTTCACCAGAGGAGGTACCTTGGGACCTGGGGTTTGGTCTCTGCCAGGGACAGTTCCAGGGCTCTTTGAAGAGCCTCATACTCACTCTGCAAAAAGGAGAAAGAAAACCAGTTGCCTTGGACTTTATTCTCCCGGCGGGGGGGGCGGGGTTTGCTTCTGCCACCCCACCCCAAGCTCCATCCAACTCACCAAGCCATTCTGCAGAGCGATCACTGGGGGGGCTGACCTGGATGGAGACTGGGCTGTTGCTCTATGGCAGACATTCAAGAGGCTGAAGTCAGAGATGTGAAGGGAAAAAAGGGAGAGAAGATACAGGTAGGCCTGCCTACCTGCTGGGAGAGGTAGATGAAGGCAACGTCCGACTTGGGCTGGGGACGGTGCTTGTAGAAGAACCCAGACCTTGTGCTCTGGAGATGGCGGCAAGTCTGTAGGGAAGAGACACTCTTGGCATGCCTCCAAGAACAGTCAGCTTGCATGTCCTCCCAGGCATTACCCAGGAAGTCAGGAGGGGAGTTCCTCCAGTCTGGAAAAATAGGCAGTTGAATAGGAAGCTAAAATAGACTCCTCTAGCCAGAGGCAACAGGTTTGCAGCTCCCCAACTTGTAAGGATAGAGGCTGAGTCAGTTTCAAAAGGATGGGGTGATCCCAAAGGCAAGTACTGGACCTGGTTGCAATTACCCTGGCCGGCTGGTTGGGTGACTCTCCCCAGAGCACTCATGGTCCAGTGGGTGACGGTGCTTGATGCAGAAGTTTCCGCCACAGCGCTCACAGGTCAGTTTCATCATTTCCCGCTGGCGGCAGCCAGAGCGTTCACACTTATTGGTGAAGATCTGAGATGCAGAGGGAAGGTTTGTCTCTGCTGAGACTCTGACCCCATTCTCCAATCCCATCATAACAGCTGTTCGGGTTTGCAAGCATCCATGGTCCCAGCTGGGTCACGGCTAACCCCTCCAACGCTTACCTTACGTTTTTGCTGTGCTGGATCTGAGCGACAGTCTCGGTCGATGTGCTCCCCCACAGCGCGGTCAGGGGGCTCCCCTCTGGCCACAGGCACAGGCACATTACAGAGTGGGCACACAGGTACCTGGATATCCTAGAGTTAAGAAGGAGTAGGAGTCAGTCTGTGGCCCGCTCCCAGTCCAACCAAATCTCTGGTCCTGAAACAGCCTCCCTGAAAGACCCTGGATATGCCTCCTATAAACGCACAAGGAAACAATGTTTCCAGCACTGAGCTTCAGAAAAACAGTAACGAGAGGAAATGGGAGGCAGAGGGATTCCGGAGATGCTGCAAGCATCCTCCACCCGCCCCCTCCCACCGTCAGACCGCCCCCTCACCTTCTGGTAAGCAGATCCACAGTGATGCTGGGCATAGGCCACATGGTCTGCGCAGAAGATGCCGGAGCAGGCGTCGCACTTGAGCGGCAGAAAATCTGCAGGGAGCGGGTCGGACTGCAGGTCCAGCGGGACCTCGACGTCATTGCCACTCACTCAAGCCTTCCACTCAGGGGAAGGGAAAACGCCGCCCAGTTTGCAACAAACTGCACCCAGTCCTAGGCCGCTATCTCCTTAGCCACGCCCCCTTAGCCACCGCCCCCAACTTCGATTCCCCGCCCTCTGGCAGTGCCAGCTTGGGAGCCCACCCTTGGAGCCCACCCTTCGCCCCACCTGCAACTCCAAGCCTCGCTCGGCCTGGCCCGGCCCCCCGCGCGCTCCGCCCCTCACCCAAGCGCTGACAGCTCGGCTCGGAACAGTGAGCCCCGAGGTCCGGAAACTCCATCGCCGGGCCGGGCGGGGCCTGCTGGCAGAGGAAGCGGTGCTGAGCGTGTCTAGGGCTCCCGCTCCTGGTCCGGACCACGACCCCGCACTCCAGGGGGCTCCTGCCCCGCCCCTCCCTCTCCCCCCGCCCTGCCGGGGTTACCGGAGCCTCAGCCTTTCCCGGCCAGCGACTCCCACTCCTCCCCCGGCGCGCGCGGGCGTGCTGACGTCATCGCGCAGGGCGGGCACGTCCCGCGCAGTCTCTGGGCAGCGGGAGGAGCCACCCCTGCCGGGTGGGGCGGGGGGGGGGGGGGGGGGGGGGGGGGGGGGGGGGGGGGGGGGGCTGGGTGGCCGCGCGCGGCTCGGGGAGGGTGGGCGCGGGCTAAGCTCCGGGACCTGCCAAAGCGCCGGCGAGGGCGAGGATACATGAGATCCTGGGGAAGGAGGGCTGGGGTGGCTTGGGGTCTTTCACAGTTGGGTCCCTCGCCCGCTCCTCACTCCAATACTTTCGCTCTCGCGCTTTCGTTCACTGCCACAGGGGCTCTTACTGTCCACGAGCTGACGACTCCCCTATTTCCTCCCAGTGCAGATTTCCGCTGGATCTACGGATCCTTCCTCCGGGTTTACCTCTGATGCCTTTTCTGTAAGACTTTCCTGACCCTCCCCAGTCGGAGTTAGGAGCACCGACCGTGTGATCTCCCCGATTCTGTGCTAGCGCCCATATCACGTTATTGTAATAGGCTGTTCACACACGCGCACATCAATGTCCTGGGAAATCGGGGACCGCCTCTCTCTTGTTCTGGGTCTCTAGCACCCAGCGCACTGCCTAGAATTGTGTGGTTTTGTTAATGTGGGTTTGATATGAGTTCAAAAGTTGTTTTTAGAAGTTGTTTTGACATAAGAATGAAGTAAGTTGTGTCAGGATGTCATCACCTCATCTGTTCTCACAGGTGAGAACTCAGTAGTAGCTCAGCTGCTGAGGGGCCCCTCAGGGCTTATTAATAAAAACATACGAAGAAGCAACTGGATGACATATGCAAAGACATGACTTACAGGGCAATATATATACATCTCAGGTACCCCCAGTCTAGGGTGGACAAGTATTCTTTCAGTCAAAACCTGAAGGGTGAGTGGATGTTGGCCAGGTGAAGGCCAAGGGGGAAAGGAACAGAGTGGAAAGAGATGGTATTCCAGGCAGAGGAATTGGCAGGGACAAAGACCTGGAGATAAGAGAGAACGAGGTCCTTTAGATGAGCTTTAAGAAAGCTAGGGGCTATGCGCAACTGATAAATTATTGAACACTGCATCTGAAACTAACGATGTACTATATGTTGGCTAATTTAAATAAAATTTAAATTTTTAAACTTAAATAACAAATTTAATTTAAATAAAAACAAAAAGAAAGCTTGGGGCGTCCGGATCTTAGGTACAAAAAGCCCAGTCTGGCAGGAAGTGAAGCTGGAGAGCTAGCAGGGGCCAAATTAGCTCAGATAGTGGAGGCCACAGCGGTATTGAGAGTTTCAACATAAATGTAAACAAGAGACTAGAGATAGCTTTAAGCAGGGAAGTGACATGATCAGGTTTGTATTTTGGGAAAGTCACTCTGGCTTCAGTGTGGAGAACAGATCAAGGGAAGTATGAGATTAGAAAAAGGGAGACCAGGTAGGAGGCTGTTGTAATCCAGGCAAGAGATGATGGGCTGAACCAGAGTGGTGGCAATGTTTAGAGTTAGTGAGAACTCAGGGCGGGGGGGATGGGTTAGCCCAGTGATGGGTATTAAGGAGGGCACGTACTGCATGAAGCACTGGGTGTTATACGCAAACAATGAATCATGGAACACACATCAAAAACTAATGATGTAGGGCGCCTGGGTGGCTCAGTCGTTAAGCGTCTGCCTTCGGCTCAGGTCATGATCCCAGGGTCCTGGGATCGAGTCCCACATCGGGCTACCCGCTCAGCGGGAAGCCTGCTTCTCCCTCTCCCACTCCCCCTGCTTGTGTTCCTGCTCTCGCTGTGTGTCTCTCTGTCAAATAAATAAATAAAATCTTTAAAAAAAAAACAACTAATGATGTAATGTATGGTGATTAACATAACTTAATAATAATAAAAAGAGAATTAGAACTCAGTAGAGAGTTTAGATATGAGATAGATATTTTAAAATAAGTAACTTTCCGATATATCACTGAAGGGATAAAATGGGGGGGGGATTCTACTCCCAGAGCAATTATAAAGTACTCAAAAATTTTTTTAGAGAAAAATTCCAACCTTATCTGTAAGAAACACTTTGACTTACCTCTATGCAAAAGTTCAGCCAAACATTGGGTTAGTGTATGGAGCACCTTTGGCCATTCTTTCAGGGAAATTCTGACAGCTGCTTTCCTCAACCCACCCTCACACCCTGGGGTGGCTCAGGACAGCCATGTTTCTGCCTTCCCAAAGATGATTGGTCTGGGAGTAATCATCTGACAAGTACTGGGTATCTAGGTTTGTGTTCCCCCGAAAGCATAGCCTGAGACAAGGATTTGGGTGCAGGTAGTTCATGTGGGAGGTAATCCTAACCAAAGAAAGAGAGAGAGACAAGGAAGGAAGGAAAACCAATAAAGAATGTTATTGAGCGGTTACTGGTAATAGGAGCTCAATGCCACCGGGAACTGTAGGGGAAACCATCAAGAATGCACCCCAGAATTGTCTTTCTAAAGGACAGAAGGCGGGGCTGACTCCTGTCTGCCATGACTTGGGGGTTGCTGCTGGGAGTGATAACTCTCCGCGCCTAGTTTGCACAGCCAGTCTGCACATGTGTGCAAGCTGACTGAGCTATGGAGGCTTTGCCTTGAAGCAGAAATGGCAAGGCTGGCCTTTGAGGTGGGAAGCCATTAGGGATTATATGAACTGTCCACAGCAGCAGCTGAAGTCATAGATGGGCCGAGCAAATGTGGCACAGGGCACCAGGAACATCTGCTATATTTGGCAGTATTTGGCCAATCGGTTTCTTTCCCAAGAATTTGGAATCGAGGCCAAGAGAATCAGTGTTCATAAAACCATGGGTCCCGTAATATATAACCTATAGTTTGGCCATCTGCCGTACTTGCATATTGTCATACTGGCTGGGGGACTGGAAAAGAGATTGTTATCTGCAATACTCTGTTTTCTTTTTTTTTATATTTAATTAATTAATTTATTTGAGAGAGAGAATGAGATAGAGAGAGCATGAGAGGGGGGAGGGTCAGAGGGAGAAGCAGACTCCCTGCTCAGCAGGGAGCCCGATGCGGGATTCGATCCCGGGACTCCAGGATCATGACCTGAGCCAAAGGCAGTCGCTTAACCAACTGAGCCACCCAGGAACCCTGCAATACTCTCGTTTTCTGCAGTGGGACACAATGAGCTTCCTAAAAAGAGGTTGATCTAGTAGCTCACATATATGGGCTTAAGTCATATCATTACTTAATTCTTTTGCCTCCTCCCAAACACTCTGACAAAAATATGGCTAACTGCCATTAATCCTTGATTTCACTTTGTTTTAAGATAGTTATAAGTCATCCCATTAAATTCAGGGTATTTCTCAAGGCTTTGTCAGAACTTCTGATCACAACCTGAAGTCAGGTTGATGACATTGTGGAGGCTCCTGATACAGGTCTACACATAAGGGCCCTCTGCCATGGGGATGTAGCTTTTGACCTAGGCTCTTTAGAAAGAACATGTTGAAGAGCTTGCCATTTGTGAATTCCAAAACTCCGTATCTGTGAAATCCAGCATCAGTTCTGTTAGATTTAAACTTATGAAATGGCTAATTTTGACTTTTTTTTTTTACTTAAAAATTTTTCATATGGGGTGTCTGGCTGGCTCAGTTGGTGGAGCACGTCACTTTTGATTTGGGGGTTGTGAGCTTGAGCCCCACATTGGGTGTAGAGATTACTTAAAAAAATAAAATATTGGGGCACCTGGGTGGCTCAGTCGTTAAGTGTCTGCCTTCGGCTCGGGTCATGATCCCAGCGTCCTGGGATCGAGCCCCACATCGGGCTCCCTGCTCCACGGGGAGCCTGCTTCTCCCTCTCCCACTCCCCCTGCTTGTGTTCCCTCTCTCACTGTCTCTCTCTCTCTGTCAAATAAATAAAAGATTTTATTTATTTATTTGATAGAGAGATAGAGAGAGGGCACAAGTAGGCAGAGTGGCAGGCAGAGGGAGAGGGAGAAGCAGGCTCTCCGCTGAGCAGGGAGCTGGACGTGGGGCTTGATCCCAGGACCCCAGGATCATGACCTGAGCTGAAGGCAGCTGCTTAACTGACTGAGCCACCCAGGCACCCCATAAATAAAATCTGTAAAAAAATAATAAAATAAAATCTTGAAAAAAATGTTTTGGATATGATTTAATATAATCTAAGCAACAACATTCATCATGGGCAAGAATTGTTTTTCTCTGACCTTCTATCTAATCCTGAGCCTGCTGGGTTTTTGAACCCAGACATGAAGGCAAACAGTTCCTGTCTGAGAGTATGGTTTAAGCCTACACACCTTAAAAACAGATGTACCAAATGTCTATGTACCTCTGCCCTTCAAACTTCTATTTTCTACTAATCATATGTAAGAAGAGGACGTTAGATAGGAAACAAGTTACGCTGCCATAACAGGGACTCAAAACCAGTGGCATAAACAAGAAAAGTTTAATTTCTTGTTTGTGTAATAACCCAAGACTGGTATGAAAGCACCTGTCAAGGAGGACCTGGACACCTCCTATTTTGTGGCTACCCCACCCTCAGCTGTTGCTTTTGTCCATGTGGTCCCAAATGAGTCCCTGCTCCAGGCGGCAGAATGACGGAAAGGAGGAGGGCACCCCCAGTGATTTAAGGGTATGACCCTGAATTTGCATACATCACTTCTGTGCCCTTAGGATGGACAAGCACTTAGTCACATGATCATACCTAGGTCCGTCATGTTCATTCCCTAACTGGGAAATGTAGTCCTTAGCTGGATGGCCATGTGCCCAGATCAAATTTCAATTATTACGTCAGCGAAGGAAAACAGATATTTGGGAGAAGACGAGTGTCACAAGGGGAAATAAAGGATACATTTTATCATATGTGGACCATCTTGAGCTTGAAGGAGTAAAGCAGGGGGTGGGTCACTTAACGTCACATAGCAGCCAAGACTGTTGAAGCAACTGGATGGCTTCTTAGCTCATCTCATGTGGTTTGAGG